ATCTCCAGTCCAAGGCATCTCCCAGGAAATAAATATGATGTTCCATGGTTACTTAGTCTGGTCTCTAATCCACAACATCACAAAAGATACCTATCCTTTTGGATTGATACCATATCTACTTGCACAGTACGGCATCCTCTTTTGTAGAATATATTTCTTTATATCAAACTAAAAAGAAAGAAGAGGAATTCATAGCTTTGTTTACAAGTAAAAAATTTTATGAAGGGGCAGAAACTACTTATAAATGACTTACCAGTACTGTCATGAAAGAATCCATGCTTCGAAGAGTTGACACGTAAATGAAAAATTAAAAGTGATAGCCTAAAATACAAAAATGTGTAAAGCAATTTAGGCAGCAAAGGTATTACTAGCTGGAAAGACTAGGAGTGGAAAACAAAGGCACAATTGTGTCATCCAGGAAACATAACTGAAAGTAACATCAAACTCAGTGCCAAATTAGAGAAGAAATAAAGGGACTCAACAGGTGACTGCTGGAAAAATAAGTTCAGAAAAATACTTTCTTTTAGCAAGGCAGATAAGGTTTTGTTTCTGAAAAAGTCTTAAAGAAAATATTACTACTATGAGACTTGTTCCTTTTTTTGAGCAGAGCTATGATCTATGTCTCTGTAGTATCAGAAAGGAAAAAATTTTCAGACCAGTACGTCAGACTAATCTAAATGGCTACACCACTGTATTTGTTCCCAAAGAAAAACTGTTATAAAAATGTATCTTAGAAGAAAAGAAATTAGCATGATATTAATTGAAAGGTTAAGGTGTAGGGGGGAACCAACTCATTTTTTTGTTCATCTAGACCCAAAACAAGAGGTAACTAATATTGCTGATATTATTTGATAGCAACTGCAATTCTGTTAGGGTAACTATTTTCAAATCTGTGAGCAAACCAAATACAGTCCCAAAAGTTGGAACAAATGATCTTTTACCCCTTAACCTAAAAAAATTTAAATGTTGAAGAATTTTACAATTACAAAAAGAACAAGATTTGAAATTTTCACCTGAATACATCTCTGTTATAAAAAGACATCAAGGAAGAAAGAAGAAAGAAAAAAAAAAGAAACTTGTCATTATTCATCAATGCTTGCCTGTTTTTTAAACCCAGGAAATTCCTTTACACTCCCTTCCTGGCTCTGACCAGCCAGAACCATAGGTGTACTGCTCTAGTCATTCCTTTACCAATAATATAATATGCTAACACTACATTTAAAGCTGATTTTTGTTAAACTATTCCAAATCCTAAACTCATGCTCAGAGCTGAATTTACAAATAATTAATTAAATAGAATACTATCATTCTCTCCATTCAAAAGTCTGGTGGTGCAACCACTGTGAAAAACAGTATGGCAGTTCCTCAAAAAATTAGAAACAGAAATACCATATGATCCAATAATTCTGGAAATACACCCACAAAGAATTGTGAACAGGAGCTCGAAGATATTTTGCACACCCACTGCAGCAGCATTAATGATTACTATAGGCAAAACATGGGAAAAAGTGTCCACTGACAGGTGAATGGATAAACACATGTGGATAAGACAGGGGATACATTGCAAGACCCTCAGTGGATGCCTGAAACCACAGATAGCACCAAACCTTATGCATACTATGATTTACCTATACATAAATACCTATGATAAAGTTTAATTTATAAATTAGGCACAGAAAGAGATCAACAATGATAAAATAGAACAATTAGAATATACTGTAATAAGTTATGTAAATGTAGGCTCTCACTCTCTCAAAATATCTTATTGTACTGTACTCAACCATTCTTCTTGTGATAATGTGGGATGATAAAATGTTTACATGGTTAAAATGAAGTGAGGTAAATGATGAGCACATGTGACACAGCATTAGGCTACCACTGACCTTATCATCATCAGGAGGATCATCTACTTACGAACAGCAGTTGACTGAGGGTAACTGAAAGCTCAGATAAGGGGGGACTACTGTCTATGCATACAGTGGAATATTATTCAGCCTTTAAAAAGGAAGGAAATTCTGACACATGCTACAACATAGATGAACACTGGAGACATGCTAAGTGAAATAAACGGGTCACAAAAGGACAAACACTGTATGATTGTGTGAGTTTGAAGTACCTAGAGTACTCGCATTCATAGAGACAGAAAGTAGAATGATGGTTGGCAAAGCTAACTGGGAAGTTATTATTTAATGGGTACACAGTTACAGTTTTGCAAGATAAAAACAGTTTTGGAGATGGGTGGTGATGATGGTTGCAAAAACAATATATTGAATATACTTAATGCCACTGAATTGGAAGAAGCATGGTTAGGATAGCAAATTTTACATTATGTGTACTTCACAATTTAAAAAAAAATTTTATTTGGGAGCTGTTTTTATTTGGGGAAAAATTTTTTACAGGACAATTTGGAATATATTTGCTTTGTAGTGAATTCACTTATCTACAAAATCCCAAAACTATCCCATTAACTCTGAGCTGTAGTCTTCTACCCACTACCTCTCCAGTTAGAAGAAACCAAGTAGTTTATTTTTTAAATGATAGCTAAAAACTTGGAATGTAGATACTTGAAAAATACATGTTTCTTCTATAATCGGGCAAATCAATTTCCCCACCCAAAAGTGAACACAGTAAAATTATGTTCTATTTACATCATAAGTTTGTTATCCACTCCTCCGCTTATTTCAACAGAAGTCCTTTGTCTACTGAATTGAAATAGTTAAAGAGAATACAAAAATCCTTCTCAAAAGCTTTTCCATATTTAGACATTGTATTCCTATTAATAATCAAAATATCCCTTTCTACAAAGGCAGCTCTGAGAATTATTACATAGTCATATGAAGTAAATGGAGTATCATTTTGCTATGTTCACTTTTGGGTGGGGAAATTGATCGTTCAGTTATAGAAACTAGTATCATCTAAGTATCTACATTTCAAATCTTGTGCTGCAATCTTTAACATAAATTACATGATTTCTGATAACTAGATAAAGGCTAATTTTTAAGTGAATCCTATAAAAAATTTATATAACATAAAAACATAGGAAGAATATTGATTTTAAGAGCAAACTGATCTGTTACCATCATTTGTAAGAGGAACACAAGGTTTCTAAACATAAAAGGCTAAAGAGCTTAATACATGTATAGTTTTCTAAACAATTTTTATTCTACCAATAATGTTCTCTTACCTATTGATAATATGAAATTAATTCTCACCATTTGGCAAACAATTGTTCACTGTAGATGCCATAAGCTTTTTTCCATTTTATAAACAATTGTTCACAACATTGCCATTGGTTTGAAGAGAAAAACATATTAGAATGTATTAATTTGATCAAAAAAAAATTCCAAATGCTTGTCAGAAAATCTTACTTTGCCTCTGAAAACAAAAATCCTAAATTTCCTTTCCTTGGCTGACACAAGCCTCACAGTAAACATAATTGTCACAAATAAAAAGAGAGCAAGCAGCCACAAGTTATTAAAAGAGGTAAAAAGTTTGGTGAAATCAAAGCAAAGTTATAATTACCTTGAAGTTTTTAATGAGGGAAACTATAATTTTTGTTGTTGTCTAAAGCCATCCCTACCTCAATATAACAATTTTATAAAAGGATAAAACTACTCCTAGAACTACAGAGTTCACACAACCACATTCCACGTTAGATATGCATTCAGTTGAAGGATGAAAAAGAAAAGATGAATGATTTAGGCAAAAAAATATCTCAGGCGAATTCTAATCCTACAAAACACTAAAGCCTTGTGGTCAACTTTTATTTCCAGAACCTTCTTTCTGTCTGAGTTTGGAAGTTAGAGTATAATTAAATGCAGGTATGTACATATTCCTAATCTGTCAGATATCACTGGGTAATTAAAAGAGCAAACTCTGAAAATGGCCAGAAGGATATTAAGTTGTAAAATGAGGAACTTAAAAAATCAGAGAAAGAGGGAGAAGAAAAGCCCAATAAAGTCTTTGTAAGGAAACATATTGCCTACTTTATTAGTGTTAGACCATGTGCAATAATGTCAGTGTTAATGAAGAAACAGTCTGCCTATACACAACAGTAGCTTCTAAGTTAATGCTAAAATAAAAGGTTAAAAATATCTCACTACGGTATTTTCTTCACCAAACATCAAAAGGCAATGGGGGTGTTCACAGGGTATTAGTTCTAACTCCAAGTCTTTTGTGATGCATACAGCTCTGCTTTCAAGGGGCCTCCCTAAAGTACTTATATGCCAGTGTCACTACAGTTGGTAAGGGAATAACCTTTGCTTATTCTTTAAATTATTTCTGGAGAAAGGACATCAACCAAGTAATTGAAATCTGTAAGGGAGGGGAATCACAAATATGAATTGGTATTTATTAAGCTTGTGAATTCACTGCAGATACTTTGCCACATACACTCCATTTGCCGCCTCCTTGACTTCCTACCTCTCAAAGATTCCAATAAGGCATTAAAGTCTGAAATGTTTATTTCTCCTTGAAAACCACCATAATACCCCGTTACCCTACCTCCTCCTCCTCATTCTTTTTTACTCTCCCCTTAATATAATACACCACACCCACAACACCGCATGCTCCACACCCACACTCCACATAGCACATTCTCATGAACAAGCCAAAACTCCTTACCCAAAACACCCAATACTTAAAAGCCCACACCTAATACTTCCAAATTCTACAGTCTCCATGAACACAGGAAAATATTACAGTCCACATACATAATAACCCAAATATACCACACCCTCTTCCTACAAATCCCATTCAAGCTATTTATAACACATTCTACGCACACCCAACACAGCATATTTATTACACGTTCCCCCATGGCTCAACACACACACAGACCCACATAAGTCTGTGTACCCATATAAAAGCCAAGTACCCATATAAAAGCCCAAACCACACACCACTTCAGTATCCAAACAAACGCTGGGAAGAGGCCACCCTCTTGGCACTGATAACCCGCAAGGCTGGAGGTGGGAGGGGAACAGGGAGAGACATTTCACCTGAAAATCCGCCAGGATCATCTCCCGGTCCATGTTGGACGCCATGGCGGCAGTCGAGTTCCGAGGCTCCGGGAGCAAAGCGCGCACCTGGGAGGAAGACGGCGCCTCCTGCGGCCGTCGCCGCCGCCGCCGCCGCCGCCGGGCGCCGAGGGGCTGGCGGGCGAGCCGGCGGGCGGGCCGGCGGGCCGGCGGGCGGGGCAGCGCGGGAGGCTAGGCGCTCATGCACCCGGTAACCTTCAGGCGCCCAGGCCGCCCGCCTGCGCCCCACAGAGCCCGCGCCGCAGCCGCCGTGACAGGGAGGTTGATCTGGATGAGTGTCCGGTCTTAACAGTCGTTAGCCAGGATGAGGGCAGGTTGCGACAGCGCGCACCCGGCTCCCTTCCGCGGCGGCGAGACAGGCGGGGGCGGGGAAACCGAGAGAACTAGCAGGCGGGCGAAAGCCACGGTCGCCTCCGCCTCCTCCGCTTCCTCCCTGGCTGCCGCCTCCACCCGTGGTTGGCCAGCGCCTCGGCTGTCGCACATTTTGCCTGTCATCGAGGTCGCAAAGCGCCGCTTTGCGGCTGCCACGTGACTGCCCTCCTGTCAAGCGCCGGGCGCGCTGCTACCGGGCAGGGAACTGCGCGCCGCGGGCAGGGACTCTAACTCTGCAACTGCGGGAGCTTGAAGTCCCGTAACAGGTTTTTCCAGTTTGGAGCTAAGCAAAGGCTTTGGGTACCACCTCCCCCAGTGCTGGGGCGAGGATCAGATTCTGCGCCTTACGTGGTTTCATAGTCACACACATACATACCAAGCCTCACAGACCAACTCAACACAATCTCACAACCCGTCTAACAGCAACTTATAAATGTACATTTCCTCTAAAAAACTTTCGCCAATATATAACTTCACATAGTCTTATACGCTCAGCCTCACTGTCAAAACTCGCTTACACACTGTCACGCTCAATCCCAAACCCCCTGACGCCTGCACCCTCAGACTCAGTTAACACAGAGGTACCCAGATTCCCACGGTAGACCGGGGGTCGTGGGGGGACATGGAAGCTGAGAAAGGTGAAAATGTCGACCCCAAGAAAAAGATGAGCAATTGTTTTGTTAGTCAGAAATAAAAATCTTTCTATTCTTTTTACATTTTTTAGATCTGAACATCTTACAAATGTCTTAAATCTCAAAAACTTGAGTGCAGCTTTGAATAGTCAATTTAAAGTACCTTCATTAGTGAAGAAATTATAGTAAGATACCACTTACTAAAATTTTCAACTTATGATCAGAAATTGAAGGCTTTGAAACAAAAATAGCCAAAGACTATGTATACTGAAGTATCATATTTGTAATTGTCATCTAGGCTGGAGGAGGAGTGACAGTGGAATATGTTCATCTTTGACTTGGGAAAATACAATCATCTGTACTGAATTGGGAATTTACTTGCCTTGAAAAATGTTAAATCCTGAGAGTATGAAGTAAAATTGCTGATTTTATGCAATAGAGTTAAAACAGATACCTGTGAAATCACATAGAGAAACAAGGCCTACCTAGGTCTTTGTAGTTCCCTGAACACGAAGAAGATCACTATGGTGTTCTAAAGATCTAGGTTTATTCTGTTTTCTTAAATTAAAACAGTCTGGCTTACAACTCTCATATGATAATCTGCATTAGCCCAGAATTAGCTAGATAAGGTATGGAACCTTTTGTAGTCACATGAAGTGTCTTGTTTAATTGTCATCCCTAAGAAAGTAATTCCAAAATATAACACAAATTTGAATCACAGCATCAGCAATTTAAGTGTGACAATTCAGTTACCCCACTCATATATGTCACTCACAACACAAGGCAGTTGAATAATTGTCTCTAATCGCATGGTCAGCATTAACTGCAGCCCTGGAAAGCTGAGTTTTTTCTCTGTGATAACTTATGTATACTTTAAAGCCCATTCAAATCCAGTGCTGCTCCCCTTCTCCCTCCTTTCTCTCTCATATGGAAGTTAAAAAAATGTGTATTGTAGAAAGATGAGAAGAATACCCTAGCCATTTGGGCATATGGGTTCTAGTATTGCTTTCTCAACTAATTAGCTGGGAAAACATATGATCACTTAGTCTCTGACTTCAGCTTCTGACATGACTGTTTCAGTGATGAGAAAACAATTATGAAAATGCATGGAAAACACAAAATATCCTTACAAAATGAGCCTAGATTTCATAATCAGCATTACTAGGCTTGAGTTCTAATGCTGCCCCTTAACAAAAACCTGAGTCTCAATTTCTTTATCCCTAAAATGGGGCTTATAAAACTTACAGGGTGATTATGAATATTGACTGATACAGTTCTTATGAAAACTCTTCAGAAACCTTAAAGTTCTCCAAACATGTTAGTTGCCATTTCTCTATATACCAATTCCTAAATGCTTTTCTCAGGGCCACCGCTTTCATAAAACTTCAGCCAACAAGGATTCTTCTTTCTAATCACAACGTTTACTATTTTTATAGCACAATTTAATGCTATGATAAATTCTGTAATTTTTTATCTAATTGTATCATCCATACATGTTTTAACATTTTCCCAAAGGTTGAAAATTCCTTGAGATTATAAACCACTTTATCCCATGTGTTTTTATATTCACCATAGTTGATACATAGCAAAGTCTTAGGTACATAATAACAATACTTTTGAATTTATTCATTTTTATTGGATGTACCTTACACACCTTATCTCACTTAATTCTTACAGCAATTTTACAGAATAAAAAACTGCTCAGAGAAGTTATGGATTTTCCCAAAGTCATACTACAAAATGATACACCTAGTATTTAAAGCCAGGTCAAAACTAGTGCTCTTTCCACTTACTCTGTTGCCTCCCTGCAATTTACCCTCCAAGCTGCAAAGTCTTTGCAGTTCTTGAAGAGACAGATTCTTCCCTGTGACTAACTATATATGGTTAGATACCCAGCATCCAGAGTAATTGCCCACTACAGAGAAAGGAATGGAAGAAAATTAAACACTGAATTAAGAGAAAAAAATAATTCATTTTTCATTTCCCCAGAATTCTTTCCTTAAGAGAATTTCATTTCAGTGTCACAAACTGAGAGAACAAAAATATAGACTCTTGGTACATAAGCATAAGCAAAGAAGAAGTATTTTAATCTTTTCATTCTCATGGTTGGTCTACTACATTAACTCAGCCTAATTAGTTCAGCCTAATTCAAATGTAGTTTTCTAGAATCTCCATTTTCTTTGATCTTACCATTACTCTCGTAAAAGGAATTTTTCTTTCATATTTATTTCATATAATAAATTTTATAGTTATTTTGATAAATTTTTATTTGAAATCATTTTAGATTTATAAAATAGTTACAAAGATAGTACAGAATGTTCCTATTTACCTTTTATCCAGCCTCCTCTACTGCTACCATCTTACATAACCCTGGTACAGCTTTTAAAATTAAGAAATTAACACTGGTACAATACTGTTAATAATTAATTCTGGACTCTATTTGATTTTACATTAATTTCCTTTTTCTGTTTTAGGGTCCAATCCAGAATACCACATTACAGTTAATCATCATGTTTCCTTAGCCTCTTCCAATCTGTGACAATTTGTTAGTCTTGACTTATGAAGCGTAGTGTCCAAGAACTTTATAGAATGTCCCTCAATTTGGGTTTGACTAATGTTTTCTGGGAATTATACTGAGTTTATATATTTAGGGAAGAATATCACAGATGTGATGTGTTCTTATCATACCATATTAGGGGCACATGATACCAACATGACTTAATACTGGTGGTGGTTAACCTTGATCCTTTGATTAAGTTAACCAAGCTTTTAACAATGCTACTTGCTTATAATGTAATTCATGAGAAGACTAATGTTATTACAGAGTTAGATCCACACTTAAGTAATCAAAAATATGTTTCATCTAATAATTTTATGTTCTTTAGGAGTCTAGTGCCTGATCCTGGACTCTTATGTAATGGAAAAGACATAAGACTTGGGTCCCCAAGATACGAGTTCAAATCCTATATCCACTACCTACTGACTGCAAGTCACAATCTCTATAAACCTTAATGCCTTCACCTGAAAAATGGGAGATAATTACCATATCTAAGTTCTTTTAAAGATTAAATAATGTGTGCATCGTATGTTACAACCATGAAATACTATACAAATATTGTTACTATTATGTTTAACCTTTTGAGTTGCTTACCATGCTTCTTTTCTCTTACTTAACAAAATGACTTTCATAAGTGGTGTGAGTACCCATATAAAAAAGCCTGCAGAATCTCAGAAATAAAATGCCAAAACCACAATTATGAAATGAGTAAAAAGATCCCCTCAGGGTACCGGTCTGTTTTCCACCTCTGTTGGATCTATAAATACAACAAAGAGGAAGATCTTGAGACTAGGTAAAGAAATTGTAAATACCACATACACATTTCTATAAGTTAATCATTCAAAAACTGCATACTAGTTTCAATGAGGGAAGAACACAAAACAATTTGATTATATTTCTATAAGCCCTTTAAAATGAGTATGAACTGCTGGGAAAAAATGTCCGCGACTGTTAGTGTTTAATATCCAACTATAGAGCCTCTATTTCAATGTTTGAAAGACATATCATTACTATATGTAAAGGAGAAACTGCTACTTTCAATAAAGTAGATGCTTAACTGTGAGTTTGTCTTGTATACCATGTGAGAATGTATGCTGATTGAGGGTAGAGATACTCATATTTGAATCTGTTTCAGTGAACTAGCATGTAGTAAATATTAGATATTCATTGGAGGTACTTTGGGGTGCTTATTTATTCTCTCTGAATTAAGACTACAACCTTTGTGCTGCCATTTCTAGTTTACACAAGCACACTAAGCATATGCTTTAGGGCAACAGCAAAGCCAGAGTTATAAAAAAAAAAACCTTCTTTAATGAATTTAATATTTTCAGCAAAAACATTGAATTAATCATCAGGAAAAATCACAACTTTGTTGGACTTCTTAATTGACTGTATTTGTTGGACTTCTTTACACATGTTTTTTGGTTTTGTTTTAGGTTTACTTACATATGGCATGGGATGGTGGGACATCAAAATCTTTTCAAGGCTCAGGACCTCCAAAAATCGTAATCCAGCTTTGTATTCATCTTGTATTACCATGAATTTTACTTATTATTCATTGGAATTTATATTATAATATATGGCATATTATTTCATGGAAATTATAACAAATATATACCTATACTTTACATAATAAGTATAATTTAAGGTTCTTCCTCATTACAGTATCTTCTCTTAGCAAGAAACCATAACAAATGCTAGAAATCAACTCTCATAAATTGGACTAATACCAGTTACCTCTTATCAGCCAACAGTGCTAATATACCATCACACCCTCCAGCTGTACTAAAAGATTACAGAGTAAGTTCCCAGAATAGGAATAGGTAAATTATGTTATTTATAGTATGTACTAGTATAAATAGAATTCTAAATATATTTGAAATGTCTAAATACATGCAAGAGAGGAGTTAATTTCTGGTGATACAGTTCATGCTTTCACAGTCCAAGTTTAGTTATCTAAGAAAAGAGCTCTGGTTACTTTTTTCTCAACAATTCAGTTAAAGAAAACACTGCCAGATTCTTCCCAGTTTCAAGTCTCCCTCTACCCAGCAGCCAATCTAAATGTTTCTGGTATGTTTTGTTGCTAAAACTCCATTATACTTCAAGTTGCTGGGTACAGATGTTGCTTGAGTATATGTCTGCTAGAGGCCAGTACTAATTAGACCACTTGTCATTTTTTGCTTGGTTTCATTTTGACCACTGGGTGCATCATGCGACCGTGTTGGGTATTTTTAAAAGCAAAAAATACAGAAAGCAATAGTTTAGTAATCTTACATAGCTAAAAGAGGTTAAAAGTACAGGGAGAACTGGTGTCTTGGTGACTGAAATAAAGGATGAGGGAAGAGACTCTTCTTTTACATTTAGCCCCCTCCCCCAATTAAACAAGTCCCTACCTAAGATGTCAAAGAGAGAACTTTAGCAATAAAGAAATGGCCAAAACTTACTTTAAATTTTGCTTTAAAATTAATTGGCTTTGCTCCCTTTCCCCCCCAAAATGGAAGTGTAGTTTCGAGTTCTGGAACATTAAGGCTTCTGAGTTCATGATTTCTTACCTACATCATGTCTTTAGTTTTTTCAAAAATCAGTCTGTAAGACTTGTACTCTAAGTACTGTTCTTGCCGTCAACCCGGGTCTCTCTCCCTCCTCTCCCACGGCCACCTCTGCCCACAACGACCCTAGGAGTTGGTCTGGCAGGTGCGAGGCCGAGGTCCGAGGCAGCGTGGAGGAGGCCGAGTTTACAGAGCACGCGCCGCGGAGGAGGCGGCGGTAGCCGTAGGCCCGGTCGCCCGAACTTCGAGAGCCTAGCGGGGCAGCGCGGAGGCAGGCCGGCCTGCCCCGTCAGGGCCGGGGAAAGCTCGCTCAGCGCCAGCTTACAGCAGCCCGAGCGCCGAGCCTCCAAGGCCCTGCGGCTCTCCGCGGCCGTCTTAATTAACAAACCTCTTCCTCCTCCCCGTCGCCGCCGCCGGGTTCCGGGGAGCCCGGCGTTTCGCGTCGCAGACGCCATCCCGCCCGCCAGCCGGAGGCGGCCAAACCGGGCTCCGCGGGGCGGAACGCCGCTCCAGCTGGGGCCTGGCCGCGGGGCAGGCGGGTGGGAGCCAGCGCTGGAGACGGAGGGAGGGAGCCTGAGAGCCAGGAGGCGGGAGGAAGGGCGCGGGGCTGGGGGCGGGGCGAGCGAGGTGGCGAGCGAGAGCACCTCCCGGGAAGAGGGCGGGGCGTGGGCGGTGCCCGGCCTTCCCGCTCCCGCGGCACTGCAACTCTGCCGAGCCTCCTTAAAACTCTGCCGTTAAAATGGGGGCGGGTTTTTCAACTCAAAAAGCGCTCAATTTTTTTCTTTTCAAAAAAAGCTGATGAGGTCGGAAAAAAGGGAGAAGAAACCGGCACCGTCTCGGCAGCGGCGACAGAAGCAGCAACTGTTTGAGAGAAACAAGCAGCAGGAGAGGGAGGGAAGGAAAAGAGCAGAAAGGCGGACGAAGGGCAAGTGTCTGTAGGGGTGAAGGGAGCAGAGATCAGAGATTTGGGGGAAACAGCTACAAAAGAAAGTGTCACTGAGAGCGGTGCGGCTCGGGAGGAGGACTGCTGCCCTGCTCGGCTCCAGAGCACAGCGGGCTGGCGGCCGCTGCCCAGTCGGCGGCACCGGCTGGGGGCACAGGCCGAGGAACCGCGAGAGGCTGGCCAAGTGACACCGGGCACCGAAGCCGCTGGGCTCTCGCCGAGAGGACGACAGGACCGGCTGCGCCCTGGGACTGTGGCGAGTCCCCGTACTCAGAACTTGGCCTGCGCTTCCCAAGACCCTTCCGATCTCCGGAGGCCCTCAGAAAACAGGGAAAGAAAGGAAAAGACGGCGGCGGCAGCTCAATGAGTGTCTACAGTAGGAAGTCTGAACTGGCTCGGTAGTAGGCGGGAAGTTGCCGGTGGGCTGCCCGTGCAGCCGCGATGCTGCTGCGCGCCGCTCCAGCAGCCCGGGCCCCGTAGACCCTCTCCGCATCACTCTCCTGCTTCCTCACGCTGCTCGGAGTCCCGGGACCCAGTGGGGCCGGCATGACCGGCTTGCCTGGGGCCCGCCGCGCGCCCGGCCGTCTCCGGAGACGCGCACAGAACCTGGCTCCCACGGCCTCTGAGGCTCCGCAGGGCTGCGGCAGCCCGGCGGGAGGGCACCGGAGCCTTCCCGCGCGGCGTTAATCCGCGGCTTGGCCCGGACGCGTCTAAAGGCTCCTCCCGAGAAGCCGAGGACACTGAGGAGTCCTTAGGACCTGTAACTTGAGGACCACGGAACTGCTACTCCTGTTTGCCTTTGGCGATCGTCTTTAGCCCCCCGGAGCACGTCAGCGTCCAGCCCCCGCGACGCTCTCCCTGAAGCGGAGGACTCAGGATTACCCCTTCGGCGAGACGGATGGAGGAGAGCCCTTCCGTGGACCTGCCCCTGCAGCTCTGGCTCGCGCAGCTCAAGTCACCACCGTGAACAAGGGTGGGTTAATGCCTTTTCTTCCCCCAAAATGTCTTTTCTTCCGCGGTAATTTTTGCCCTATCTAGTCCCTTTAAGTCTCCACACACATTCCTCACACATCTGTAGTGTAGGTACGTGACAACTCTGCCTATGTTTTACATCCAGAGTAATTTACCAGGAATATATGTGTCTGTGTGTCTCTTTCTTGAATCGCCAGAATTCTTCATAGGGGTTAAGCTAAAAAGCGAGGAGCGGAGCCCCTCTCCAATGGCTCAGTTTTGCTGAATAATCACGTGTGAATCGAGGGGCGGGCTTTTGGCAGGCAGATCTTACTAGTATTTACTACCAAGCTCTACTCCAGATTAACCATCCCCGTCTTTCTGTCAGTCTCCGATGCCATCATGCAGCCTGGTTAAGAGGAAAGGAAAGGGGAAAAAGAAAAACAACTAATTCATCTTTTCCCGATCGTCAGGACCCTAAAGAATGGCCGAGCCTTGGGGGAACGAGTTGGCGTCCGCAGCTGCCAGGGGGGACCTAGAGCAACTTACTAGTTTGTTGCAAAATAATGTAAACGTCAATGCACAAAATGGATTTGGAAGGACTGCGCTGCAGGTTGGTATCCAGAGAGGTGGGGAAAACAGGTCAACAATGTTGCCTACGTGACCCGGGTTTCTAGAGTAACAGCTTATAAGCTTTCAGGGGTACAAAATTTCACTGTTTTTAAACCTAGTTGGTTGCCATATTTTATATCTTTAAGTGGATCTAGTTCCCCCAAATGACGTACTTTGAACAAGCTCGTCAAAACCAATAACATCCTCGATATCAAGTGGGTTCCAGGTTTGGCTTAATTTTTGGAATGTTTTTATGACGGTAGGGATTTTAAAGTAGTCGTAGCAGCGCCGAGTTTCTGGTTTTGTTTTTTATTTTTTAAAGACAGCTCTGTAAACACATTATTATGATTATTATTTGAAGTAAATACACTGCTATTAGTGGTTTCCGTACTTTGCTCCAATAATTGCCTTTAATGTGAATTTTCTTGACTATTGGCGAGGGTGTTTTTCCGTCAAATGCTTCAAGTTTTGACAAACGACCTTTCCTTGTTTGGAATGAGTGGCCTGGGCACGGGGACAGGATGTACATTTTACATTTCACAGTTAATGTAATACCATCTACCCATTTAGGATTGAGGAAGAATAAAAAGTTAAGTTTCCTAATCAGAGCTCAGTCTGTAGTTTTTGTCTCTGTGGTCATGCAGTGGTATGTTCTAATTTTCAGTAATTAGATTTACAAGCAACAAATGAAACATGTCCAGCCGCCAAGTATTGTACCTGATTATTTTTTTCTCCTCTGTACGTTATCATGTAACTTAGTTGAAAGGCTTAGAAATAGAACAATGGCAAAGTAGTCTCCACTAGTTGCTTTATGAAAGTTCTGATGATATTCTTATGTACTATTCTTATTCGGAAATGCAACACTTGGCTGTTTTTGAAAATCCATTGGAAAGAGGGATTTTAGAATGCTTTGTTTTTGTTACAAGAACTAGAAATTTAAGTGGCAGGAGACACACCATTAAGAGCAAAGTCCATATAGTCTGTACATTTTAAATCCGAATACACTGACCTTGCAAAAGTTTCAATATTAAAGAAGCTAATGCATAGATACTAAATTATTTATCTTATTTCAGGTAGATTCAGTGGGGAAAGGAATTTTTTTTGACACCTAGTAGTTTTTAACAGATTTGGTGATGATGGCAATGCCACAAATTTAATATATTGAGAAGTTTCCTATTGAAAACTCAAAAGATTATATAAATCTCACAAAGAATGAACCATTTAATCCATATTCAGAATAAGATCTTACAGGACTTCTGACGAACAGGAAGACTGGGAGACTAATATTGCAACAAAAAGTTTTGACAAACATTTTTAATACAACTCTGCAATCTTGTTTATATTAAACATACTTATCGAGATACTAACACCCACTTATTGTGGCTTAGTCCTAGTACATATAATGAAACACACACAAACAGAAGTCTCAAAGCTTTTTTCAGTATGTATAATCCTGACTCTGAAGTTGTCTCATAAGTCAAGAAAGAACTTTCTTTCAAAACAATTTCCAATGTTACTGTTATTTTCTGTGAAAGACAGCAAATTTTCTTCTACAGTTATGTTTATTTAATTCAGTTGCAAAAGCTTTTTCCTTCTTCCTAGCGTAATCTTCTCATTTAGAGTAATATAAAAGGCCATATTTGTACATTTGCTTTACAAAGAGCCAAGGTGTCTGTCTCTTATTTTTCCCAGTCAAAATCCTTAAATGTGATTAAATCTTTGGAGGCAGTTGTGGCCCCAATTAGACTGTTAATTTTTAATAACCAAAGAGCATATCTCACAGAAGTTCTTGAAAAATAAATTATGTATCATTTTTACCAATGACCCAAGGGAAGAGCTAAAAGTCAGCAGGGTTTTATCAACTGGCAAACTTAGTATCTTGGACATCTATATAGTTATATTTACAAAATATTATTCATTGTAAATATATTTTATTATATTAATTTGTGGTTATTTTTAAAACAAACATTTTTAAGGAGATAAATCAATTTTGTGTGTATTTTGCAATGGATTATATTTAATTTCACAAACATTGAGTGTCTACTATATAATCTATTTATTATAAATTTGGGTTACTATAAATATACCTAAATATAAATGAAACCAGTTAAAATGCTTAAATTTCCTGGCATGTTAATGAAACCATATTTTTTCACAACTAAATTATATGTATTGTATAACTGAATGCTGCTTTACAAGATGTTTTGTAATTATGAGAGCCTCTTATTAGTGTGAAATATATTCATCCAAACAACAGTAGATAAGTCTTTGTCATGTGAGTTATTTGTATGTTGATAGCAAACTTTAATACCACATTCTGTCTTTCAAAATGTTGGCCGTTTACAAATAGCTATTCCTAAATGCCTGATAATAACTGCAAAAGAAATAAGATGGGATTACCAGTTGATTATTAAATGGGCTCAAACCACAAGACAAAGCTGTGTCACAAAATACAATTAAATACCTTATTTTCTCTTGCTCACTTGAAGATCAGGAGGCTATTTAGAACCTTAAGAAACAGTAGGTAATACAGCAGGATGACTGTTTCATTCAAGAACAGTTGCCATAGAATCCTCTCCTATCTAATACACTGCATGTCATGAACTTAGTTTTAGATAAATCAATACCATAAGCAATTTAGAACACTTGCTTATTTAATACCTTAATAAGCGGTAACACTTTAACATTTCAAGTGTAGGATTCTAAGCACTTAATACACCTAGTAGGCAGTATGAAATAATGTACAAAGAAAAAATTTTTTAAACACTTGGAAATTTGGGGCTATATCTATTTGGAAAGAACTTGTGGAAATTAATCATTTAAGAAAATATCAGATCTGGATTTTTAATAGATCAATTTTACACCAGGTGATGGATTCTGGTGTGTGGAAACACTTCTTTGGGGTTTTAAGGAAACTCACTTTCTTTAATTCTTTTCAGTAGCTTTTTTAGAAAATAGATTTTACCCACATTCTATTTTCCAGAATGAATATCCCAGGCACATTTTTGAACAGGAACAAGCAAAGAGAAGGAGACTTTTACTTAAATCTTAAATTCCATTTCTTTAAACAAATTACACAACTCTTCATAGGAGATAGAGCACTGAACTGTCAATGAATGTTATACAGGATGGACTCATTTTATTGATCGATGTATCCTACTTTTAGGCCCATTTAAAATGTTCTATCATAGAAACTCAATTTTTAGAAGTTTTATTCTACTTTTACCTCTTAGTACTTTCTCACCTGCAATTGTGCTCTTCAAACGCCATCATATTGGTCTTCCCCAAGCACTCCTTTACCGAAAATAAAAAATTGCATAAATAGGAGAGATGGGTATTATAAAATATTTTTATAGTAGGAGCACTTAAAGGATTCTACCTTTTTTTCTTATTTTCTAGGTTATGAAACTTGGAAACCCCGAGATTGCCAGGAGACTACTACTTAGAGGTGCTAACCCCGATTTGAAAGACCGAACTGGTTTCGCTGTCATTCACGATGCAGCCAGAGCAGGTTTCCTGGACACTTTACAGACTTTGCTGGAGTTTCAAGCTGATGTTAACATCGAGGATAATGAAGGGAACCTGCCCTTGCACTTGGCTGCCAAAGAAGGCCACCTCCCGGTGGTGGAGTTCCTTGTGAAGCACACGGCCAGCAAAACGGGGCATCGGAACCATAAGGGGGACACCGCCTGCGACTTGGCCAGGCTGTACCGGAGGAACGAGGTCGTTAGCCTAATGGAGGGAATCCAGGCGGAGGGAGCTGCGAATCTGCAATGAATGTGGGGAGGGCTCTCCCACACTGCCTTCTATTTTGTCAGATAATTGGTTGGCTGTCTTATTTTAATATCACTTGTTAAAATTCAGTTTTGCCATCTTTTAAGCAGCTAGTTAAATCTTCTGAAATTGCTAATTTGAAATCTTGCTACAGATTTATGAATATATTTAAGCAAAATCTTTTTCACCTGCAAAAAATCCCGAGTTCTAATATGTAATTGCAAATAGCTTTGACTTTCTTCTGAATATTTTATCTTTCCTTGACTTTTTCCTTGCTTCTCCTCTGCCAGTCTCAATAACCAACTTGGAGATTTTGTTTTAAAAATGGTTTGTCCTGATGCTTCTTTTTCCTAATTAAAACACTTTTTCAAAATAGGACAATGTTTTTATGTGATTTCCACTCCTCTGTAACCCCCACTTAATTTGCCACTTGCTAAGGAAAAAGACCAATAGAAAAACTAGACACATTGCATTGATGATTCAGTTATTCTTTTCCTCTTCTCCTCATGAATCCCTCCAAAGATTTTGTTGCCTAGTATTTCTGCTTTAAAACAAAACAAGAACATTTTTTGATGATCAAACTTAAAATGATTTCAGTTTGAATTTATCCTACTGTTTAACCTTTCCCTTTTCTCAAAATTAAGTTGAATAGTTGAAAAACAGATTTCAGAAGTATCAATCTGACAACGAAAATATGTTAGTTCTAAAAGCCGCTTTTTAAAAAGTGCCACCTTAAAAGTGCTTCCCACTGAGATTTTAAAAATCACAAAATGAAATGGTTAAACAATATATTTTCCAAAATAATACCATAAGTATACTAAGTGGGTTTTTTCTCCCTGAATGTCAGAAGTTAGAAAATGTTTAAGTATTAAGATAAAATGCAGATACCAACTTTTGGGGATTAAAAAGCTCGGCAAGAAAAACAATATAAATTATATATATAGGGTTCATTAATTTAGAGGCTGCATTATAATAAGAACAGAAACGTTTACAACGAACAAATAGGTCACTCCTACATGATACCCATAAAACATTTTAGCAAAGGCATATAAAGTCTTTTTAAGAATGTGCTTAAAATTTTTGTAAAATTTGGAATTAAGTAGAAATATCAAATTTCCAAGAGAATTTCCCAGCATCTACTACTTATTATATTACTTCAATTAAAGATTTTTACCAAAGGATTTCAATGCAGTTACCATTTATAAATGTATAAATACTTTATTCATCATCTCTCACATGAACAAAGATGTTTTATGTAAAAGCCCCCCTCCTTCTGCCTGCCCTCGCTCCAAAAAGAACAAAATACCTCAAGGTTTATTGAAGGACATGGTTCTGATGCCTGCCCTAACAAGGATTGGAATGGCAAGTGGTTTTCAATAACTCATCTTCCATGAGAGTATAAAACAATATAGAAGAAAATGTTTGATCCTTTTCCTTCGGCACTAATATTCACCTTCACTAAGTAATACAAGAGTTCAACTTCTGCCACCTCTAACCACAAATTACTGAACAATTTTATTTTTGACAGCAACATGAAATTAAATTTACAACACATTTTAAAATTTAGGAAAAAGTAAAAATTGAGATGTTTTAAAGGAAAAATGTTGCATTTTGGATTTTAATACAGAATCAATATATCAAATACACTACTTGAGTAAGCTGAATATTTTCTAAACACAAGACTATACGTTTTAAAAAAACACTTTTACACATTGCAACTGTAGAGATGGACGTTTCTGAATTTCAAGTAGAGTTTAATGGATTTTTCAGTATCCACCAAGTCCCAGCATTAGAACTGCTCTTTAGAGATTTCAAATATAAAGCCATAGGACGATCATAAAGCTAAAGAGCAGAAGTGCTTCGCAGTTGCTTGTTTCTCAGGTGGTCAGAGCACAGAGGAGAGGGAGCTCGCTCTCTTCATCAGCCTAAATGCTAAGCGTTAAAACAAAGCCACGTTTCTGGCTCTTCGCAGGAAATAGCTTTGCTAATCTAAGTATTTTAGAAATGAGTTTTGTGGTCCCCTCTAGGAAATATGAAAAGCCATTATTCAATCTCTCAAAAACCTCGACAATATTCAGTAAGACTCCTGAATATGACGAAATACATTGGGCGGAAGAAACGGTGCTGCTGAGTTGAATGGGGTCTAATTTGCAGTGAGCTGAGGTGCAGAAGGGTCTGGACTTATTCAGACGCAGGGCGAAGAGGCAAGTGCTAATTAATAAAGTGATCAGAGCACCAGAGCACTCTGTAGAAGGGATGGAGGATACTAAGCAGAGATGCGCTCTCAAGTTCAGTTCTTCACTGCATCCTCATCCACGTCGGAAAACTTAGGCTGTCTGCCCAGTAAACTGAACCCAGGCTTACACCTGGGGGAGGAGGATACTAAAAGGGACTCAATCCACCTTCTGGTCTCCGAGAAACTAAGCAAACTGCATTTCACCATATTTCGGTAGTGAATCAAGTTTACTGACAAACATTACGCATCTCGTAATGGTGTGATGAGCTTGCACACATACACCACTCTGGTTGACTAATAGACAAAAGAAGTCTGTCTCGGGAAGGCAATTCAGTAGGAAATATTATAAATTTCCCTTATCGTGTTGATCAAACGAAGCTGTGGACTCCGTGGCCCAGGACTGGTTTCGAAATCTCAGTTCCCAAAAAGGTGCTTTCGGCTTTTGCCGGGGTTAGAAGTAATACACCAGAAGCGCTGGAAGATCACAGTGCTGGAACGAGAAAAGGTCGTATTCGCAGTATTCCTGACAGCAATAAGTGACCTTCATCAAAGGCTGTCGGGTGTTGTGTGTGTCGTGGGGGGAGTCCCTGTCTTGGTCTCTGGAGACTGTTTTGATTTTACTCGGCAGTTCTAAAAAACCGATCCACGCAGGGACCTATGAGAGGCAGGAGACAATCTTCCAGGCTGACATCGGGGGAAAAAGCTCTGTCTTTAGCCAACCCAAGCACTCTCTGGAGGGACTGAGAAGACATCCTTCTGTCCCTTCGAAAGTCTCCAGACTCTAACCGCAGCTCCTGGCTCCCTAGTGAGGAAACTGGAGCCCAGTGCTCCCTCAGGGCGCGCTGAAAAGCCCGGGGTGGGGGTGGGGGAGTTTCAAAACCGTTAGCTCGCGTTGTTTTTTTTTTTTTCCCCTCCCTCGCTAAGGTTTCTTTTCTTTTCTCTTCCTGTCCAAATATTTCAAATTTCCGCGCCTTAAATAACAGTCTCCTTTTATTTAGTTAGTTTCCTCGGCAGGTTTGGCCGTCCGCTTGTCTCTGCCCCCCAGCGGGCCCGGGGCGCCTCGGGCGCTTCGGTGCTGCCTGCAGCCCCTGCGCGCTGCCCCCGGCCCAGCCTGCGCTGCCGAGCGCACCCGCCAGAACCACTGCCCCCTTTTGCCGCGACCTCGCTTGACCCAGCTCTCGAGGCACCTAGAGCCAACTGAGGCCGCCCCCTCCCCGGACGCCTGTTTGCCTCTCAGCTCGACTTCCCTCCCCGGACTTTGGAGCCTTTTTTCTGCTTTGGGGTTTGGATCCTGGTCTCCATGGAGCGGCGGAAGGGCCACGGGGATAGGAAAGCAGCGGAGGAGGCCAGTGGCCGGAGCCTGCCCCAGCCCCCACCCCGCGGGTAACCTTGGAGGCGCCCTCGGAGTGAGTGTGTGCGCTGCTGCGCCAGCCGGCTGGGGCGAGCGGGCGCACAGCGCAGCGGGCAGGAGGCGGGAGCGAGGGGCGGGGAGGGGGAGCGGGCCCGGCGCCTCCCGGCCGCCGCCGCAGCGCCCCGGGAGCTGCGGGCTACTGGAGCGGCCAGGGTCCCCCGGCCCCGGCCCTCAGGCAGGCGGCCATCCCCTGGATGGTTCTGGCGACCGGTGCCTGAGGACTGGGGCCGGAGAGCGACGTGGGAGCAGGGGCAAAGGGCCGGTGAGTGCCTAGCTCTTTGCAGAGGTGAGCTGGCAGCGGGACGCTGCGGAGCGGCTGGAGCTACTTCGTGCCCAAAGCCAGTGCCAGCACTCCTTCCTCCTCCCCCATGACAGCTGAGGACAGCCGGGCTCTGAGCCTCGCGTCCCACAGCGAGAAGGCAAACGACTCTCAGGCTTCTCAGCCCCTTAGACTATTCGGGAGGTTGCCCAATGATGTAGCCTCTCCCCTCCCCACCCCCGTAAATAATTAGATGTCCAGCACTGAAAATGCAAGTTCATTCCGAAAGACCCTCCGCGTGAAACACCGAGAATTGCAGGCCCGCCGGGACTTTGGGTGGGGCTGGGGAGCATGAAACACCTAGTAGGGGCTGTTTTGTTTTTTCAACTCGGAGCAGATCCGAAATTGAATATGGATCTTCAGTGATGCCTCAAAAGAATAGAAACCTCCCAGACCTGGATATCGACTTGCTAAATTAAGGTTCCAGTGAAATATTTTGCCATCTGCTATTGAACATTGTGCTAGCTTCAGGTGCGAGGATGTGGATTTGGAATTCACTATGCTATTTTTAATTCTCAAAGATTTTAAATAACAACATGGGTAACACCCGGCAAGCAAGTAAAGGTTATCCTTGCCACCACAGCACCTGCGAAAGCACAAGTGGAACTCACATATTTTGCTTCTTGAGTTCTAAAATGGCTTCTGAACGGTCCAGAGGTACCAATACATGAAGAGCGGGACAGGGGACAGGGGACGGGAAGAGAGTTTGTACATTTTTTAAAAATTACACAGACATTATTACACTTCAGTTGTTCCACCTCACCCCTCTCTCTCTCCCAGCCCCTATCCTCATTGGTCAAGGAAGAATTTTAGGTGTAGGCCTATTCAATAATTCTATACACAGCCTTTTTTCTTACCTTACACGCCCTCCCTTTTCCTCCCACCACCCGCTCCCCACGCGCCAAAAAAAAAAAAAAGTCAGCCAAAAACATCAGCTCTTTTGGGGAGGAAGTAAGAAAACCACCAATCCTCATCCAAACTACCTGTTATTTCTTTTGAGTACTAAGAAGATATCCTACATGTAACACTATGAAAGAAGAAATAATTAACCAGGACTTCAAACTCATTCAATTGGTATAATTAAAATGGTACTAATTATCTTTCAACATTAAAATAATGGGAAAATTTCTGGAATTGATAGGTGAAAAGCTCAAACCCCTCCAAAATGTTTGGAGATGGAAGCTTCTGCTCTTTATATTTCATCAGTACAGTAGTTACTTAGAAAAAAAAAATCCTTGATCCTGACCATATAAAGCAAAACCATGCTGACTAATTTTATTTTACTTATATGTCTTAGTTTTTCAGATTAGTTATATAAATAGTGAAAGTTCACTTATAGAGCAAAACTGACATTCTTTAATGTTAACTTTTTAATTGAGAAATGCAACCAAATTAACACAACCATATTA